TTCTGACTACCATGGCAGTATGATAGGTTCTAAAATCATATAGTGTGAGGCCTCCCACTTTGTTCTTCTTCTTCAGTAGTGCTTTACTTATCCGGGGCCTCTTCCCTTTCCATATGAAGTTGGTAATTTGTTTCTCCGTCCCATTAAAAAATGTCATTGGAATTTGGATCAGGATTGCATTGTGCCTTTCTCTCATAAGGATATTTGCAATAGCATTTAGGGCCTACCCAGATTCTCCAGGATTAACTCATCTCAAGATTCTTAACTTAATCACCTCTGTAAAGACCCTTTTTCCAAATGAGGTAACATTCTCAGGTTTCCAGGATTTGACGTGGATATCTTTGGGGGAGGTATTTTCCGGCCTACCACACTCCTTATTCTCACTAACTCTTTGTATGGTCAGACTGTGGTAGACAACAAGATGTGCTGCCCAGATTCCCTTCCAGAAAGGACCTCCTGCCCAGCCATGGGAATGGTCAGCAGTTGGCCTCCAACTGTCAGCTCCTTCAGGGTCTGCCTCAGTGGCAGAAACTCACCTCACGAGAAGATGCACTCTTCTTGGGGCAGCCCACATCTGGGGACATACTAGTCCAGCCGTTTAAGGCCTCTGAAGGACACTCTGAGGAGCACTATTCACGCCAGAGCTCCCCACCAAGTTGAGAGAGGCAGTTGGACTTCTCCATCTGCCCAGTCTTACTTCCTTCCGGTTCCTCTCACAGGTATTGATCCCTCATAAACATCTTGCCCCCTATACTCCACCTGCTTCTAGAGAGCGCAACCCGTGATATAGACATTTTAATTTATTGCCAGTAGGATGGAAGTGAAGTGGTAGATCATTGTGTCTCTTATGTTTGCATTTTCCCCATTTATAGGGAGGTGGAGCATCTTTTCAGATGTTAGTTGGTCATTTGTGTTTCATGTTCTGAAATGGGTTTCAAGTTTCTAATGTAGAAAAACTTGTCCACCTCCCCCACGTGACAGGCGTCCTTCTAGTATCTACTGACTAATGAAAAAATACAAATGCATTTATGGATTCCTGGATCCTTTCATAATTCCACAGTCTTCCAGGGATCTGCCACCCACTGGTTGGGAACCCTGGTTTATAGGATTAAATTTAAACCCTTTATGATGAACCAGAGGGCTCTTCATGATCTCCTCTTGCAGCCTCTCTGTGATGGTTAGTTTTATGTGTCAGCTTGGCTAAGCTATAGGACCTAGTGATTTAATCAAACACTAATCTAGGTGTTGCTGTAAAGGTATTGGGTGGATATGTTTACCATCTACAATCAGTTGAATTTAAGTAAAGTGGATTACTCTCTATAATGTGGATGGGCCTCATTCAATCAGTTGGAAGTCCCTAAGAGCAAAACAACTGAGGTTTCTGGGAGACGTTCCGCCTCAAAACTGTACAATCAACTCCTGACTGAGTTTCTAGCCTGCTGGCCTGCCCTATAAGTTTTGAACTTGCCAGCCCCCACAAATGCATAAGCCAATTACTTACAATGAATTTCCAGATAGATAGATAGGTATAAAGGTATATAGATATACATCTGTCTATCTATCTATGGAGCCCTATCTATGGAGAAAGACCTGGAAATCTGCTCCCATAAAGATTTCAGACTAGGAAACCCTATGAGGCAGTTCTACTCTGTCACATTGGGTTGCTATGAGTTGGAATAGACTCGATGGCACCCAACAACAACAACAACGTCTATCTATCTATATATCAAAATATCTATTTATCTGTCTATCTATCTAAAATAGAGCTAGATCTAGATAGACAGACAGACAGACAGATAGATATAGGTGGAGCCCTGGATCGTATAAACAGTTAACGTGCTCAGCTGCTAACCAAAAGGTTGGAGGTTCAAGTCCACCCAGAGAAGCCTTGGAAGAAAGGCCTGGTGATCTACGTCCCAAAAAATCAGCCATTGAAAACCCCGTGGAGCACAGTTTTACTCTGACACACATGGGGTTGCCATGAGTTGGAATCAACTCCATGGTAACTGTTTTATAGATACAGATATCATATTTGTGTTTCTCTGGAGAACCTGACTGATACACTCTTCACTATAAATTCTCTCCACTCTTCCCTTAAGCATCCTGCGTTCCCAGAATAAACTTCTTCCGGAATAGCCATGCTCTCACTTATCTCTGTGCTTTATACATGTTATTCCCTCTTCTTAGAATGATGGCCACTATTTACCCTCCACCCTTGCTCCTCTCCCATCTACCACAACTCATATCCATCCTTCAAGATGCAGTCCAAGTGCTACTTCTCCCAGGAGCTAGTTCTGATGTTTTTCCACCCCCATCCCATGCCTTTACCTCCAGGTTGAGTCAGATATTCCTCCTTTCTGCTCCGTTAGCATTCTGAGTATATCCCCTTTTTGATTTCTATGGATTTTTTAAATCATCGACCGCGTATGAGCATAGTGCTGGGCTCTGGGGGTGCTGTCGTGCTGGTACCTTCACACACCATACTTGCTTTGATGACAGGGACTATGTCTTCTTGTTAAGGTCTCCAACTCCTTGGAAAACAGTGCTTAGCAAATAGAGGGTACATAAAATTGAAGTGCATAGAAAGAAGGCATGGGTGATTCAGCCATGAACTTGGTTTTCCTTCTCCCGGAAGAGCATATCCCCTCACCTGCTGTGATAAGGATGAGAAAAGAATGAAATGCAGTGTTTCCTCAGGGGATAGCACATCAGACCCATTTCACAAGGCCACTCAGTGAGCTGTCACTCCCCAGAAGACTAACAAGGGCTGAAGGTATCAGGAAGGCATGACTGGCCAGAGAGAAGGGAGCAGTCAGCAGCCCCAGAGCACAACCCATCTGACTGGCCTCGAATAGGCCTTCACCGGCCTGGGCTTAACTCAAGCTCTGATTTCCTCCCTTTGGTCCCAAGAGGCTTAGGGAGGAAGGGGCCGGGGAATTCCACCTCCTCCCTGGCCCAGCCCATGCCCAAGCCTTCCAGACCAAGGGATCATGGTCCTCACTCATCATGACCACCACCACCATTAAATGCCTTCCGGCTCACATCTGCACTTTCTCCTATTCCTTCCTTTTAAAGCATCCACTAAGCATCTGCTCAACTTTAGGTATCATGTCAGGGCTGGGGTTACAGAGATGAGCAAGTCCATACACCCTGCCACAAGGGTTTCACAGGTTAGTTGGGAAGACAGAATGAGGAAAAAAAACAAAACAAACAAAACTCACACACGGAGAGATTACACTCCAAACAACAAGAAATTCAGACTAGACTGTTGGGTTTGCAAGGTTTCCAGCCCATCAGGCAGATAAACACACACACACAGACACACACCACAGTCAATGTGGCTATGAGCAGACACACAGAAGACATACAGTCCATAAAATAATAAACACATGGTAGATACAAGAATGGCTTATTTGTGATAGGTCAAAGGTAAGGCTTCTCTTTATGGATATTACATGAGGATAAGTAATGAGCATTCTCGCCCAGAATCAGGCGTGGTAAGAAAGGACTTTGGAAAAAGGGGCAGAGACTGTTGGGGGGGTGCGGTGGGGAGGGTTCTAAGTGTCTGGTACAACTGGGGAGAAAGTGGGAATCAGGACAAAGACCAAGGGGGAAGACCTGGGACTGTTGTAGCTGACAGAGTGAATGCGGCAGGCAGGGTGCAGAATAAACAAAGGCTCATTGCAGAGAACAAGAATGCAGGCCAGGGAGCCAGACAGGCCTGGGTTTGAATCCCAGCCCCACCAATTACCAGCTATACGTCCTTGGACAAATTACTTAACTAGTCAAGCTTTGGCTTCCTTGCCTTTGAAATCTGGCTCGTAATAGTATCCACATTATAAGGTTGTTGGAAGGATCAAATTAGATAAGGCTTGTAAAAGCAATTAGCTCTACAGCAGCACGTGGTTATCCCTCAATAAACAAGCTAACAACAACGAAGGGTGGCAAGGCAGCTGCACACACGGCACCCTGGGGCTCTATGCTTCCCATCCAAAGCTGGCACAGCCCTGGATATGTCCTTCCCCACCCCCCTACCTGTGCTGCCCCTGCCCCAGACAGTATCCCTGGGTCTTATCCGCTCACAGGCTCCTGGAATTCCCTGTGGCCTTGGAAAAGGAAAGCAGTGCATAACGCTGCCCAAAGCCCTGTGCTCCTGTGCTCTCTGGGGCAGTCTCCCTGGGGCTGGTGGCTGGGCAGAACTGTTCCTGAACCTCTTTCTGCCCCATGTGAATCACCTGGGGAGCTGTGTGTGAGGGTGAAGTGCCAGTAGCCTCTGCCTCCACCAACTCACCAGGGTGGGTCTTCCAGACCCACCCTGCCCGGCTCTGGCTCTGCGCAGTCTGTTGGTTCAAGGAGGAGAGATGCACTTTGAGGGTTGGGCTGTGTCATGCTTCTTGGGTCATCCCAGAGAGCCTGGAACACATAGTTAGAGCCAAGTGAGTGTTTGTTGAACCACTGGGGAGCTAGAGCAATTCCTATGGGCTGAGTCAGGACTCTGAGAGGGGAGCTAAAGGCCCATGAGACAACCCTGAAGAGGCCTGCCTTCTGCCCTGTGAGCCCTCTTTAGGGAAGGTGGGGACAGGGAATCACTGTCTGTCAATCCATTCTATAATAATAATGATTATATGAATAATGTTTTTATATATGTATATACACATATATAGTTTATAAAGCATGAGAAACTGTATCTAAAGTATATCGTAAACTGCAAAGAATTATGAACGCCTAATACATTTCTTTCTTTAAGCCAATGACAAGAAATACCCTGAGACAGTCAGGATGGGTACTGTCGCCAAGCTGCAGTTGAGGAGACAGTGGCTATCAGAAAGGTTTTGGAAGTGGTCCAAGATCTCACTGGGCAGGAATCTAGGTCTTCCCACTGCTGTATCACACCACCAAGTTCAACAAAAATTTACTGAGCTCCCAAGCGCTGGGCTGGGGACATGGGAGAGGAGGTGTAGAAAAACTCGGCAGAGCCTCCTGGAGGAGCTAATGACCTGGATGGGGAGAGGGGTGAGATCTCACAGTTTAGTTATCTTTGGGATGCCTCCCCTGACCCTTCTCTCTTCCTTTTCTCAGCCTTCATCACCCAACAACACATAGCGAGGGAGTGTCCAACGTGTTTATTACATAAACTGAATGGAAAGGCAAAGCGTGACAAGTGCCACAAGAGATGCACATACTACTATAGACGGTAAAGCAAGGCAAGGAGGGAAAAAGGGATTAGCGGTCCATATCGGCGCTAGGACCTTGGGTGCCGACTCATTAATCTCTGCGAAAACAGCTCTGCGCCTACCTCTGGTGGAAGCTGCCGGGCCGGCTCTCGGACGCCGCCTGTCGCAATCGTGCCGCCGTTGCAGCCCTTTTCGGGATCCCCGCCCCGCCCCACTCGTGAACCCGCCCCCCGTCTCCCATTGGCTGGCTCCTGTGCTCCCGCCCCTCTCGGGCTCAGCCATTTGGAGCCTGCCGAGGGGTGGGGCTTACGGCCAGGGGTGGAGCGTGCGCCCGGATTGGTTCTGCGGAAGGCGGTGACGTGGCCAAAGGAGGTCTGTTTGTGACTACACAGAAGATAAGGCACACCAGCACAGGATTGGTGGTAGGGTGTGGTTGGCTTGGGTTTTCCGGCCGGAAGCGGAAGTGGAGGAGAGATGCAGGTGGCGGTACGGTAGCTGGGGCAATGAGGGTCTGGCCTGGGACCCACTAGGCGGTGTCGGTCCTCGACCCGCTTCCCCGGCCTTTCCCCCAGGCGCGACCCTCCCTGGCCCATCGTTCCAGTCCCGCAGGGTGGCGGTTGGGTCCGTGAGTTGAGCGCGCGAGTGGTGTGTCCCCTCCTCGCGCTTACGTCCCCCTCTCCGCTGTGTTTCCCTTTAGGACCATCATCAGCACGTGCCCATCGACATCCAGACCAGCAAGCTGCTCGGTAGGAGGGAGTGCCCCGCGTAGCCGGCTGTCGCCAACAGCCAGGAGTCCTGACTCCTGAAGGTTGAGGCACTGACCACTAGCCAGGCCAGCTTCTGTGCCCCGTCTGTGATCGGACCTGCCTCGCTAAGAGGAATGGGAAGGAACTAAACATAGAGTCTGTTCTTGACCTGCGTTTTCTATTTTAACATAACATGTGTTATCAAATCATTTCATTCAGGTACAGAGAGGGTAAACGTCTTGCTTTAAAGACATCCAGCTACTAAGTGGCAGACCCAAAGTTGGGACTTAAAGAGGTCTGGCCCCGATGTCCATGCTTTCTTACATTATGCCAGAGGAAAACTTTCCCTCCTTTCTTCTTAGGAGCTTCCATCTCACCTTGGTTATAGGAGGAGGAGGGACATAAAACTCAGTTGGAAATAAGACCTTGTAGTGTCCAGGCCATCTCCCTGCAGTCTGTATCTGGTCTGCATGCCTCCTTCCAGTTCAGAGCAAGGGAAGGACCTCTTCATTCTGACTGTTACAGGCCTTTGCACAGCTGTTGCCATTTTTAAATGCTCATTGGATTGATAGATGTGATGCCAATCTTGTCCTGAAGAGGATGTCTGACTATCTCAACCCTTTGGTTGTAGTTCTATGACATCTATAGAATTATTCTTTCTGGAAACTCAAGAAATACGGGGACAGAATATAACTGATACTATTGTGCAACCCCAATGTTTGAGCAGTGGCAGATTTAGTGAACAATTCCTGGCCAACGTCTGGAATTTAGTCAGTCCTGTCAAGTAGTCCCTAGTGAAGCATCTTTAGCTTCATTTCACATTTGTCCCAGCTCTTCAGCACATGTGCACCTTGGTGTGTGAGCTTACTGTTGGTTGTGAAAGGGACCAATAAAACAACCACCATTCATTGAGGGTTTGCCCTGTGCCAGGCACTGTTTTAGGTACTTGACATTATAAAAATGAGGATCACTAAGATTTCTTGAGTGCTTGCTATATCACTAGGCATAGTGGTGAGTGTTTTACCTGCACAAGTCCTTGTACTCAGTATCTCATTATCCCCATTTTACATGTGGGGAAACTGAGGCACAGAGTGGCTGAGAGGCTTGCCCAAGAAACTAGAGAATTAGAATCTAGCACCATCTGACCACAAAGCATAGCTCTTAGCTGTCTTCTATTTAGGAAACGTGTACATGACTCTCGGTCCACCCATATTGTTGCTGTAGGTGCTATTGAGTTGATTCCAACTCATAGTGATCCCATGTGACAGAGTAGAACTGCCCCATAGGCTTTTCTTGGCTGTAATGTCTATGGACGCAGATCACCAGGTCTTTCCCACGTAGCTGCCAGTTGAGTTCGAACCACCAGTCTTTTGGTTAATAGCCAAGTGCTTAGTGGTTGTGCCACCAGGACTCCTTGGTCTACCCGTACCTTCTACTAAAAACACAAATCTGGGCTCAGGCTCCGGGAGGCCAGTCACGTTGGTATTCCCATGTGCAGGGTGGCACTTCGCTGTGAAGCATAGACCAGCGTTATCTAGTCCTTGCGGCGCTGGAGGTATTAGGGGCTTTACAGTTGTTCGTTCCTCCGGTAGTTAGCATAACCATCTTGTGTTTCCCATTGTCATGGTTAATCCCAGCCCCGAGGAAGAGGAAGTTGAACAGCATCCTCTGTCAGCAAGAAAGATAATTACACATAGAAGCAAAAATATTATGGAGACTTTAGAGTGTCAGAAGTGGCACTTTCATGTCAGGACCAACTTAAAGTTTTGGTTTTTATTTTTAATCCCTGTGTTAAGGCAGTTGCTCTATAAAAATCACCCCAAGGATGAAGTCAGGTTGCTATAGTCTATTCAGTCTAAGCATCCCTTTAGATTTGTCTTGACTCCCATCTTCCCATGAGCCCCCTACCTTAACCAATATGAAGAAAACTCTCAGCCAGTGTCTCAGTCCGTTTCGCTTGAATCAGTGATGGGTTTTGGCAGTGGGCGTGGGAACGCTGTGGTTTGGGTGTTTCTCGTGTAGACTGGCTGGTGGACAGAAGGCACTGCAACCTGAAATGGCAGGGTCTGGTGCTGACAATCCGAGAGAAGATCAATGCTGCCATCCAGGACATGCCAGAGAACGAAGAGATTGCCCAGCTGCTCTCAGGATCCTGTGAGTGCTTTGGGGCTACGTTGCTGAAGTCCCCACTTTCCCAGAACAATACGTGTCAGCTGAGCTGCTCCCGTGTTCCTTAGCCACTGGGGTATAGATGCTGGTTTCTTCCAGCACAAAATAGTAAAAGGGGAGAGCCATGCATGTTCATAATTACAGTTCACACAAGTAAGCCACACACCATATTGTGGTCAGAGTAGGTGAGAAATTCTTAAATTGGAATTCTCAAAGTTGTCATTCTTCCCTTGCTTCCCAGACATTCATTACTTCCACTGCCTAAGAATTGTGGACCTTCTCAAGGGCACTGAAGCCTCCACAAAAAATATTTTTGGCCGATACTCTTCACAACGAATGAAGGCGAGTGTGGGCTGAGGGCTGGGAATGGGCAACTAGTGACATCCAGCCTTTGGGGTTGGAGCCTCTCTGGTTTCTCTGAGGATCTGGTGGGAGACTCCTATATAGAGTATTTCCTAAACTTTCCCTCTATCCGCGTAGTTTATGCCAAAAGTAGATCCTACCCCCCGGGTTGACATTTTCAGACCTGCTGGGGATCACTTGTTGGTACCATGCTCTTAAAGTGGGTGGTCCGGCCATCGTTATGAGTTGAAGGAGGACAAGGAGGTTATGTTTGATGCAAAGACTGGGAGGGCTTCCCCTATTCGGGGATTCAGCTGGGATATAGCTGCAGAGTGCTTTTCTTTCTCACTTCCTCTTTCTGTTCTCAGGATTGGCAGGAGATTGTAGCCCTGTATGAGAAGGACAACACCTACTTAGGTAAAGTGGCCCAGTCCTGGCGACCGTGGAGACACCCACTCACTGCCAGTGTTCTGGGACGCCAGGCTTATAGGAGGCACAGCTGGTGTCTGGGAAGAGGCTGAAGTGTAGATGTTGCCTGTTTGTGAGGTGGGAAAAGAATTTCTACAAAGAGCGTTGGCCTGAGTAGGTGCGTGAGGTAGAGTGGAGTGCCCCACCCCATTCTGTGGGCAGAAGAGGCATGGGTCATCATGGGGACCGCTGTCTGACACCTGACAGGGAGCAATAAAGGGCTGATTGTAGTTCGCTTGTGTTTTCTGATAGTATAAATAATAATAATAGCAGCCGATATTTTACGGAGCACCCGCTATATGGAAGGAGTTGTGCTTAGTATTTTATATGGATTATCTCTCCTATTCCTCACGATAGGTATTACGGATCCCGTAATATTAATGTCCCTGTTTTACAGATGAGAATTGGACCAGAGAGGTTAAATGACTGGTTTTAGGTTCCACAGCTAGGAAGGGGGCAGCTGGGAAGGCAGCCCCATGCCCTTCACCACCACGAGGGTGTTATCTGTACATGTCCTGGGGCATGCTTGTCTTTTGGTGTGGTTGGCCTGAGGTGACTTTCCTGGGCCCTCCTTAGTGGAACTCTCTAGCCTCCTGGTTCGGAATGTCAACTACGAGATCCCCTCACTGAAGAAGCAGATCGCCAAGTGCCAGCAGCTACAGCAGGAGTACAACCGCAAGGAGGAGGAGGGCCAGGCAGGGGCCGCCGAGATGCGGGAGCAGTTCTACCACTCCTGCAAGCAGTACGGCATCACGGTGAGTGAGCGGGAGGGTCTCCTCGTGGTGTGGGGCGCCAGGGCACTCTGCCTTCCTGGGACCAGTCCAGTCAAAGAGGCACCCAGCTCCTTAGCTGCTGGGAAGAACTCCCTTCTCAGCTTGAGTCGTGCTCTTCTTGGGCCTCTCTCTGGCCTGTCTGCTTTCTTCTCATGTTTTCTCATCTGTTGGACTCTGCCTTCTACCACTTCTGTCTCAGCCTGCTTCTTGTACCCTCTCTAGGGAGACAATGTCCGAAGAGAGCTGCTGGCCCTGGTGAAGGACCTGCCGAGTCAGCTGGCTGATATTGGAGCAGCAGCTCAGTCCCTGGGGGAAGCCATCGACTTGTACCAGGCCTGTGTGGGCTTTGTGTGTGAAAGGTAGTGAGGGCCTCAGTTTCCCTCTGGCAGGAAGGGTGGTTTACCTATTTCCCCTGGCCATTCTGTCTTCTCCACTTGTATTTTTCCCACGTGACATTTGAGCTTTATTTTACACACTGAAGTTCAGTGGGAGTCTTGCCCATTTGACCACATAGCCCAGGTCAGAGCCCAGCGATGGCTTCATGAGTGGTCAGTGGGAGGGTCAGTTATGTGATCTGTTGAAGCCCCACAGAGCAGGTATTGCCAATGCTGCGATACGTGCAGAAGCAAGGAAACTCAACAGTGTACCGATGGAGGACGGGGACAGAGCCCTCGGTGGTGGAGCGGCCACACCTTGAGGCGCCTCCAGAGCAGGTGGAAGAAGACGCGGTAAGACCAGCCTTGTTAGGAGACACCTGCCTCATAGGTGTGAGCGCGAGTGTGGCTGCCTCCTCCCCACACCCTCAGCCCAAACCCCGTAACCTGATTCAGATTCCCAGAAGGAAGAAAGGGGGATTTGTGTGAGAGAGACTATAGGTGGAAGGGCCCAGAAAGCCTACTCCTTTTTTTTCTGACCTTCTTGAGACTCAAGTATAGATGAGGCTCAGCAAGCTGGAGTCAGGAGCCCTTCGGTCACATGAGCTCTATGAAGACAGGCTGTCTTTTGGGGAGCTTCGGGGCCATTGAGTTTGAACATAGTTCCAGCTCCTAACAAGCAGCCGAGGGCTGTGGAAAGACAGGCCCCTTTTTTCCCACTCACCTTCCAGGAACTAACACTTCTTTTCCCCCTTCTAGATTGACTGGGGCGACTTCGGGGCAGAGGCGGCTTCTGAAGGGATTGACTACGGCATCTCTGCCCAGGCCGCTGGAATTGACTGGGGTATCTCGCTGGACTCAGACTCAAAGGTTAGGAAGCGCTCTTGGTCATTTCTCTGAGGACTTTCTGTGGTCGCTGCTTCAGTGATAAGAGAAGTGTTGTCTGTGTCTGTAAAGGTATCACTGAGGTTCGTAGCTCTAAGACCAAGTGTAGTCAGAATTTCAGAAGGGTCATATCCAGGTTTTGACTTCTTTTCTCCTGTGATTGGGGCAAGGCGTGGGAGTGTAAGCAGGTGATAACTCTGAAAGCGTAGCCGAGGGTGGCAACACATAAGTGGGCCCGCACCTCCATCTTGGCCATCTACATCAGGGCTGCAAGGCTTTTATGACACTTGGAATGTGCAGCTATTGAACTTATCAGGGGCTCTGGCCTGTGCCAGCTCTCTGCTGGGGAAAATTCCCTGACACTGCAGGGGCTCTTTGCTGTCCTTCCAGGAAGCTGGGAGTGATGGCATAGACTGGGGAGACGATGCTGCTGTTTCACAGATCACGGTGCTGGAAGCCGGAACCCAGGGTGAGTGCACGTCCCCACAGCAAAAGTGGCATGCTCAAGGCCCCGCGTCTCTAGCAGCAAAGAAAAATGGACTGCCAAGATTAGGCTTCTGGTGCATTTAACTAACTGTTTTCTCAAAATTTGGATGAGAAGGTGAATGGAGTGGTACAGGGTGAGGTTCTTCAAATTAAGTCTAGAAACTCTCAACTTCCTGGAGAATGAACGTGGGCCATCCCTTCTGGTGCGGTTCCAGGAGAGTCTGTGGGCTCTAAAGTCTGACCGGGCCCCCCCTCCACCTACACAGGCTGTAGCAATGATCTGAGCCACTAGAGGGCGGTGCAGGATGAAACTTGACCTCCCGCCGCCAAGCAGAATGGAAAGCCGGCCTTTCCACTCTGAACCCCGCTCGGTCGTCCTCCTTGCACACTGAGGGCTGGCAGGAGTGCCTGATTAGGGCTGAGACTTGTGGGAAAGGGTAACCCTTCCCCCTTTGGTTCAGACAAGAAGTGGCTTTAGTACAATGGGTCTGTGCCCGTATTAACCCCCCAGGGCTTCTCAAACTTGGGATCTGTTCCTTCTCCAGTCCTGAGATCCGATCCTTTACCACCTCTCTGTCCCTCTTCCTGGCAGCTCCAGAAGGTGTTGCTAGGGGCCCGGACGCTCTGACTCTCCTTGAGTACCCTGAGACCCGGAATCAGTTTATTGATGAACTCATGGAGGTACTGTCATCCTCTGGGAGGGGCGGGTGAGGCCTGGTCCGGGGCACGCAGCATCACTCCCCAGCACCCGGCGTGGCCCTCCCTGTGTATGTGTGAAGGGCGCCGAGTGCTTGCTGTGTTCTGGAGCCGGGGCCTCACGTATCAGGATACCCACTCATTCACTCAGCAAATGTTGATTGCCTATCTCCTACATGTCTGGCTGTCTTGGGCACCAGGGATCAGGAGTGAATAAGACAAAGTCCTTGGCTTCATGGAGCTTATAGTCTAGTGGGGATGGCAGACAAGAGGCAAGATAAATAAGTAAATCCACAGGATGTGCCACAGAGAAGATAAAGCAGGGGTGGGAGCTGGAGATTGTTGGAAAGGGCTGCAGTGTTATAGCAGTGGGTGGTCAGGGAAGGCCTCATGAGCAGGCAGCCTCTAAGTCAAGACCTGCAGGAGGTGTGGAGAGAGCCAAGCAGATGCCTGGCAGAAGAGCTTCTGGGCAGAGGGAGCTACGACTGCAAAGGAAGGCCTCAAGGAGGAACAAGGAGGCCAGTGTGGCTGAGCAGAGGGAGCTGGAGGAAGGTAGAAGAGAAGCTCAGAGGGCAAAGAAAGTCTGAACTTTGACTTTCACCGAGGGAAGCCAAAAGCTGGTGGAGGTTTTTGAGCAGGCTGTGATGCTGAGCAGCCTGGTAAGGAGCCAGAGTTCTAGAGCTGTGTCGTGGGATCAGGAAGATGGGGGCCCCTCTTCCTTCATCTCTGGATCTGTTCCCTTCCCAGTCTCCTGCTGATTGGGAGGGCCTCACGAAAGCTCTCAGCCACTTTTTCAGTTGAGAGGCCCCTCCTAGCCTCAAGGGGAGAGGAGGAGAACAAAAAGCATCAAGTTTTTGTGGTAAAATAAGATTGACAAGATATGCAGCTGGTCCTCCAACTCTTTTCAGCCTTAATCCAGGACTTTGTTCAAACATGGATTCCTAGTCCCTGAATCTCCTTCCTTCCATGGAGAGAAAATACCTTCCCTGGGTGGGAGAACCCTTTGAGTCTCTGCATTCTTAGTTATCTGATCCGCAGGCCTGGGAGGGAGCTCGGAGGGGTAGGGCCCTAGGTCAGCCTGAGGTAGGGCATGGGGGACACAAGAGTGACAGCAGAGGCTGCCCCAAGCTCTCACCTGGTATTTGGTGCGTTTCTAGGAATAAAATTGATCAGAGGAAATACTCCCTCCTCAGCCAGAATCTAACCCACCCATCTCATTCCTGCATTTTGAGCAGTTGAAGGAAACAGCTTCTGAGTTCTTTTCTTAGTTTGAACCAAATCTTCTGTCCTCAGCTTGAGATCTTCTTGTCCCAGAGAGCAGTGGAGATGAGTGAGGAGGCAGACATCCTGTCAGTGAGCCAGTTCCAGCTGGCTCCAGCCACCCTGCAGGGCCAGACTAAGGGGAAGATGGTCACCATGGTGTCCATGTTGCAGGATCTGATCGGCCAGCTCACCAGTCTCCGAATGCAACACCTGTTTATGATCCTAGCCTCACCAAGGTCTGGCTTTCCCCTTGATGTTGGACTGGTCGGGAGCATCCACCATCTTTAGCAGCTCTGACCTCTGTGTATTGCTCTTCCTCTTTCATGGCCCTTTTTCCCTCTCTCCTGCCTCCTGTAACGTCACCTTCTGTACTAGGGATGGGGTCCTCTTTTGGGCAAGATGAGTGTTTTGATGTACGCAGGCAGAATCTGTTTCCCAAGCAGGATGGGAACGGGGAGTGAATATTCCTTACAAAAAAGGATTTAAGGATGTGGAGGCTGAGAGGCCAATTAGGGGCTTAGTTTCCAGAGTCTCACCTTTGCCAGCAGTTGAATGGGAATGCTTAGGGTGCACACCTACACCGTATGCTTACCTGAGTGCCCTGCACAGGTATGTGGACCGGGTGACTGAACTCCTCCAGCAAAAGCTGAAGCAATCCCAGCTGCTGGCCTTGAAGAAGGAGCTGATGGTGCAGAAGCAGCAGGAAGCGCTTCAGGAGCAGGCGGCCCTGGAGCCCAAGCTGGACCTGCTGCTAGAGAAGACCAGGGAACTGCAGAAGCTGGTGAGATAGGAAGGTGGAACCTGCCAAGTGGGAGGACCCCAGTTTCTGCAGAATGAGGCCCCTTCACCTCTCTGCTTCCTGCCCACTTGGTATTGCTGTCTTTTAGATTGAAGCTGACATCTCCAAGAGGTACAACGGGCGTCCAGTAAACCTGATGGGAACCTCTCTGTGACATCCCTCCATGTTCTTGCCTGCTCATCTTCTCAGACTTCAGGATGGAGGGGTCCTCCATCAAGAGCTCATGTTACAGGCCCCTTCCCATCAAGAGACCAGGAAGACTGGAAGGCACAAAGCCACGTGAGAGAATCATCCCCCAGGTGGAATAAGTAGAGGCTGTCACCTTAGCATTCACTGTGAGAGACTGTGTTAATTGGCCCTGTGGCCCGGTCAGCCTGAAACCACAGCTTCCGCTCTGTGTGGTTAGTCTAGTTGGGCTTAATAAAAGAGGGAAAGATTCTATTGGCCATTACTTATTCTGCTTCTCTAAGCCTGGGATTGAGGCTGTGCTGTTGTGGGGTTCTTGATCCAGGTGGGCTCCCTGGGCCATTGGAGCCCCAGGTTAAGGACTTTTCCACTTGGCCTCTGGCCCTAGGTACCGAGCTTACTAGCTACAGATGGTCAACAAGGGGTTGTGGGGTAGCTGAGTTGGCTGGGCCCCTTTCTCTTCACAACCAGGCCCAGACTGGCCCACTCAGGCCAGCCGCCCAGGGGGAGCAGTCGAGCAGCAGCCTTGTTGGAGCCAGCAAAGCTGTATTTTCCTCTTAATCACAGCTTACCTCCAGGCAGAGGGAAACTGCGGTTTGGAGAGGAAGGGTCTGATGAACAAGGTGGAGACAAGAGATGTCACCTTCACTAGCTGCCTGTCCACTTCCTACCCATAACTGCCTGCTCTGTGATTGGATAGAGCCCACCCTAGGATAGCACCCCTCTCCCAAGCCACCTACCCATCCGCATTTCCCAGGAAGGGTAGGGGCTGGGGGTGGCCGGCAATTCGATTTTAATTTCATAGCAGAGCAGTTGATTCATGGCTCTTTGTCGCTGGCGTTGACTCCCGTAATGACTTTCCATCAAAATGAAAAGTGGAGTGACACCACTCATTATTCCTGCTGCTTGTTATCTCAGTTCTGGGGAGGGCTGCCCCCTCCCTGCTGCCTTTCAGCCGTCCTGGACAGTGAGTGATGGCCCCTATTAATCACCGACCTCACGGACTCTGGCGGACACACGCTATCCAAAGGAGAGGAAGATAAGGCAGCATGAACTGCTCGAAGCCGCTCCTATCAATTAATGTCAGCCCATCGCTTCCCCCCAGTCCTTGCCTGGTCACCTCCTTTTAGGGGAGTTGGGGGCTGAAATACAAGGTCTAGGTGTTGAAAAAGGAAAAATAGTGGTGTTGAATGTTGAGGTAAAACTGTTCTCAGAATAGAAGAGCGGAAAGGGCCCAGAAGGGCTAGGTTCTGCCCTCAGCTGTTGCGCACACTCTCTTGGCTGAGGGAGCCATTTGTGTCTCTTGTTCCCTTTTTCCTTTGAGAGACTGTCTGTTCCCTCCTGCCCCACCTGTTCAGCTGCTGGCTCCATTGGCCTGGCCAGCGCACTGAGGCATGCCACCCTTGCTCTCACTCCGTCCCTCGTCCGGTCACCAGCTGTTACACAGCCTCCATCGCTTTCAGGAGCTGAGCTTCCAGAAGCCCTGTGGGCCATGTGACCACGGCAGGCTGGGTTCAGGCCTCAGAAGCTTGTGCTCCTGCTTTTCCAAGGGGGCTCCTTGCCTGCCTTCCCTGCCCTGCACCTCCCCTCCCGTGCCTGGGCAGTGAGGGAAGTAGTACTCGCTGAGGTTTGGCCATTTTTGAGGCTTCCAGAAGGAAGAGAAGTGAGTTTAGATGGAGAGGGTTTCCTCAGAGGATTTGGGGCACCTTGGTAAGCAGTGTGGTTAGGGGACTGTTCTTTCTCAGCCCGCTTTCCTGCTTAGCTGCTGAAGTAAAGACCCACCCTAACTCCTAGGCTGATGTAAACGTTTCTTAAAAGCATTTAACCCCAAAGCAGTGGTGTTTGTTCTCCAGAACCTTTTGCCTCATTTGCTTTGGGCCAGTGCTTCCTGGGTCTTTTCCTGACCACTCTTAAGACACTGAAGATACCTACTGGGCTGTTTTACCTCACGAGAGGGACCGTTCTTTGCCTTTGAGATACACGTCTAGATTTCCCTCTGCTGCTGATTGCATTTAGGTTCCTGCTTGTAAATATTTTTTTCTCAGAATTGCCTCAGAGGTTGTTGTGAGGACTAAATGAGCTGTTGGAACACTGCCTGGCACAGAGTAAGCACTCGCTGGTGACATATGGGAGGAGCTCTGCTGACACAGTGGTTAGGCACTCAGCTGCTAACCCAGGGTCCATGGTTCGAACCCATCAGCCGCTCCACAGGAGAAAGATGTGGCAGTCTGCTTCTGTAAAGATTTACAGCCTTGGAAACCCTATGGGGAGGTTCTACTCTGTCCTGTAGTTTCGCTTTGAGTCAGAATTAACTTGACGGCAATGGGTTTGGTTTGTTTTTGGGTGAAATATGAGCTCATATTTTTAACTTTCATATTTAGCTTATTTTTAAACTTTCATAAAGTTTGTGAAACAAGGACTCTCTATCCTGGTTTAATTTGAGTTCTTGGAAGGAAGAGGTGAGGGGCTGCTTGAAGACCAAGTTCTGAGGACTCAGGTTTCCAGGGATGAAAAAAAAAAGAGTACAGGGGAGGTGGGCCAAGATTACACCCTTGGCATCTTTAGTTTGGTATAAATCGTACTGCCAAAAATGCGCTACACTTTCATGCTCATTTTTACCCCCTCTTTCTAAGAAGGGTGTAAGGCAACAACTCTCACTACTTCCTAAGACTAGTCGCCCTGCTTCAGCCTTTCCAAAACCTGCTTACCCTGCTAAATCCACCACTGCCCCAACACCACTCCCGGTCTCTGTTCACAGGAAGCCTGGCTTTCTCCGTAAAGTACTGTGGTTTAAAGGCAACCAAGTGTGGTTCTCTTTATAGTTGATAAGTCAAGTAGAATCCCTTTCCACTGCAGGCTGTGGTGGCTGACTACATTCAGCTGAGATGAGGCTGACCATTACTGGGGGCTGCATAGAGGCTGAGAACTCCCTGTCTGCGCCAGGCAGCCCTCCACCCATGCCCCATTCAGGACTAGCCAGAAAGTTGTGGAGTCCTACACAGCTGGAACCAGGGCCTATTGCCAGTGCAGGGACAGGGATTATCCACATCACTCAGACCAAAAATCTCACCCATCTGAAGGAGAACCTGCTCCAGAGGAGAACTGGCCTGGAGCTGAGGACCAAAGAAGAGCACTTCATCCACTGTCAGGAGCTAATTGTGGCCAAGGCTGTAGACCCCCTGCTCTCCCTGTCCTTAATCCCCCTGAGGTTGCATACACAGTTTCTCCCATAGAAATACAGGGTCTAAGGGAGAGTGTTGACACATGATGTCACAAAACATTTTGTGTATTAATTGTTTAATCAGAAACTAATTTGCTCTGTAAACTTTCACCTAAAGCACAATAAAATAAAAGAAGGAAATACAGGGCCCATGGCTCTTCTCTGCCTTTTCATACACACCTACCTGTCTGGTGACTAGTTGTTATTCTGCCTTTAATTGCCACTTGTTTATTCTCCTCCTCTCCTCGCACTCCCATACATGCACATGTTGTGCTTAACTGCCTTTGAGTTGGTCCTGGACGCACGGCGAACCATGCACAATGGACAAAATGCTGACCGGTCCTGAACCATCCCCATGATCTGTTGCAGATCAGACCGCTGTGATCCATAGGGTTTTCACTGGCTGATTTTCAGAAGTAGATTGCAGGCCTTTCTTCCTAGTCTGTCTTAATCTGGAAACTCCACAGAAACCTGTTCAGCATCATAGCAACATGCAAGCCACCACAGACTAGGGGTGGCTGTGCATGAGGTGCATTGGCTGGGAATCAACTGAGTCTCCTGAATGGAAGGTGACAATTCTACTGCCGAATCACCAGTGGCCTGTTATATGCACATACAAAGTCTAATAAAATAGGTTAGGAAGTCAGACAATGCAATGTGGTGGTAATTAGCACGTGCTCTCCACCGGGACTGCCTGGGTCCAGTTCTCGCTCTGTTCTTACAATCTGTGTGACCTTGGGCAAATCTGTGGGCCTCTCTGGCCCTCATTTCTCTCACCTATAAAATGAGGACACAGATACTACCTACCTCAGGATAGGTAGCTGTGAGGAGCATGTAAAGCACTTAGAATGGAGAGGTACAGTAAGTATAGCAGGCACTCAAATGTTAGCTGTTGTGAGACGGTAGTGGCATGGAAATATCTTTAGACTGAAGTTAGAAGCTTGTGTTCTGTCCTGGCTCCATAGTCCAGACATCCGAATGTTCCAAACTAAACCCATTATCATCCTGTCGCACACTTGCTCCCTCTGATATTTCCTGTCTTCCTTTTTGCCATCAGTAGTCTCCCAGTCTCTGCTGGCTCCCCTCTCTAACCCACCATTTCCATGTTGCTACAGTCGTTTTTTGCCGTAAACATTCCCCTGCTTAGAAATACCTACACGCCTCAGCTCCCCCAGGTTCCTAGTGTACCAGGCCAGTCCTTAACAGTTGGACCCCCAGTTACCTTTCCAGCCTGGGGTCTCCACCTAAGACACCAAACACACCTGTGTCTCCAAAATCCTGACCCCCTTCTTGGCTCCCTCCTGACCTCCCTGACCCAGTTTCTCAGAAGAGGCCCAAAAATCATCTCAGTGGACCTTTCTGCCCACTCCACCCCCAAAGAATCCATCATCCCCTCCCCAGTAGCATCCCCAAAAGCCTAGTGTCAATGCTCTTAGGAGAAAGCTTATCAATGATTCATTACAATGCCTTCCCAAGGAGTCTGTCACCCCCAGCTGAGCTTCTGGGGGACAGAGTGTTTCTTTCTCACTTGTGTTGTGTCTCCCTTGGAGTCTCAGCTTCTCTGAACTTCAGAAGAAAGAAAAAAACAAACCTGTTGCCAGTGAGTCTATTCCGACTCACGGCAATCCCACGTGTTACAGAGTGGAACTGCTCCATAGTGTTTTCCTGACTGTAATCTTTACGGAAGCAGATCACCAGATCACCAGGCCTTACTTCCACACTGATGCTGGGTGGGTTTGAACCACCACCCTTTAGGTTAGTAGCTGATCATAAACCACTTGTGCCACCCAGGGGCCTCTGAACTTCAGTCATCTCTAAAATGACTTTGACCTCTAGGATATTATGATCATATGACTCCCAAATTTGCAAGAAGGAAGAGTCCTACAAAGCACCAGAAGTTTGGAAAGAAAACTGGGTCTAAGGAGGCTTATAAGATGAACTGATAAAACCAAGAAACCAGACCCGTTGCTGTCGAGTCGATTCCGACCCGTAGTGACCCTGTAAATCTTTTTTCTTCTACAGAGCAGCTGGTGGGCTCAAACCAGTGACCTTTCAGTTAGCAGCAAAACTTTTAACCACTGCGCCACCAGGGCTTCTTGATAGACTGATGGTTAGACCAAAATCCCTTCCACAGATCATCCAGGGGGAACACCCACTCTGAGCCTCTTCTCTCCCCTTTCCCTTCCGGTTGAGGGTTCTTCTGGCTGAAAGTGGAGAGGAGAGGGCTGTCATCCCATCCTCTTGGGCATGTCATTGCTTCATAGACCCGGGGTTTGCTACCAAACCGGGGCCTCAGCCGCATTTATTGCATGCCGCCCGGGCTGTCAGACCCCAGCAGGGGCCTCCAGGCTGGCCATCCTGCCTGGCAGACTGAGGGCCCGGCAGGAGGGTGCCAGGCCTGTTCCAGGGGCATGGAGCCCAAACCCCGGGGGAACCAGCTGACCTCTGAGCTGCCTGTGCCCTCCAGATGCCCTTCCTCTCAGCTGTTGGGCAGGGCCTCCCTGAGTCATTGGCCCTGAGTAAACTCTCACTTAGCCTGCCTGCCACCCTCCTCTCACTCCCCAGGCTTCAAAGAAAACCAGTTTGAATAT